TTTTTTTTTTAATAACAGCTTTTCTTTGTTTACAAAATATTTTACACAAGAAAAAAAATTATTGCAGCTAGCCTGGAGAAAGGCAAGATGTGTGATACAAGCAGCAGTTTTTAACAGCTTTGAAGCACATAACCTGTTTTTTAAAAAATAATATATAGCATGTATTATTAGCCCATCATAATGGTCTGGTCAACACTGGGGGAAAAGTCTTCTGCGTATACCTCAGAAAGCTGATTTCCTGGCTGCCATTACCCGGCTACTGCACAACATTTTAGGAGTTTGTTCAGATGAAGCACCATATATAAGTGCATACATACACTCTGTAAAATAACTTCAGGAGAAAGAGATCCAATCTGAACAGAAGACTCAAACGTAGAGGAGAAGGAGAAGCATTTAAAGGACGTGGATAGAACTGATAAAACCATGAGAGTTTTCTTTTACTTGTGTTCCAGCCTGAAGCACTCTGCTTAATCAATACTCCAAACAAACCTCTTAGGATAATTTGTCAGTGTGTCCCAATTTTGGGTGTCCCTGATCAAGGAACACTCACTCAGGATACACATACCTTACATGACTTCCTCAAAATGAACCACTGGATAAAGGATTCACAGGATCTGAGCTCTCTAACAAAAAGATCAAATAATTTAATATTTTCTTTTCTGGGACCTTTCGTCCAGCACATTCCACACTGGTCATAGTGAGACAGGTCACTGAAGGATACACTGTAAGGGCAGGAGTAGAAAACATTCGTTACAGCTACTTAGAATTTTGCGCTTGTTTTCGATAGTCCCATTTTTTTCTGCCATCGCCACTACAGAAACCCTTCGAAAGCAGTAATATCAATTTTGAACACCTGTCAAAACTTTATTCACACAACATCTTCTCTCCCTGGCCCACTGTTCCTATGGAAGTTCTTCTTTTGCAGAGTGACTTCCTCTACAAGGGTGAGAATCAGGACAACAACTTTGATCTGATAACTTTGTTCATTCTCAGGAAATGTGAAGGGCTCTGAGATGTGACAGATAAATGAAACTCACTGCACAAAAACCTCAGAAACAAACAAAACAGAAATCCAAAACTACTAACAAAATGAACAAGGAACTGACTGGAAAGGATTATTTATTAAATTTCTTCAGAGTTTCTTTCTCATATGAAGACTATAACAGCTGGAGGCCCTACAATACTGTATTATATTGCTGGTATTTTTCATCTAACAGTTGTAAAGTTGTTAAGCTGACCAAGGGTTACCTTTGAAATTTTCTTTGCGTTCTGCAACATTAGCTGAAACACCTGTTATTTGGCTTACATTACCTTTTTTGTTTTGTGTGTAACAGTCAAACCTACACACATATGGATTTCAGAAACTTTTTTCTACAGTTTTTGATATCAACTGGATATTAGGACAGTTTGAAATTCAGAAAATTAAAACAAAACAACAAAAAATCCCACCCTGAATTGTAAAGAAAAGCAAAGCGGCTTTCCTGGTTTCTGAGCTCAACATGTATGACTGAAATCAGATTTTGCTTCAATTATTTCCTGTAAATTCTGAATTTTAAAACTCAATTTAATTAATCTGCCCATTGGTATCTTTTGTTTGTTTCTTTTCATTCAATAAAACCTCTAATTCTAAGCAAATGTTAATGATTTACTCAACCATTCATATTTACAAATGTCAAACTTTCTCTGTCAAACTGTGTAAGTACAAAAGCAGTAAGCAGTATGCTTAAAAACTTGAAAAGAAACAGAAAGCAAAGATAGTTGAGTATTTCTCTTTGTTCAAAGTAGAAACTGAATGACAGCTTGTTATAGACAATTTGTCCTGGGTTTACATATGCTACTGTAATATGTTTTAGTTCCATGTAACATCAGAAAATGATGTCATATTACAGGAAAAAATGGAAAAGAATGCAAAAGGGAAGACTGTATTATGAGCACAGGCTCACAGGCTTTATGAGCTATCTAAAATAAATTACTATTCACATTTGTACATGGCAAGCAGCTATAGCTGCTAGCCCCCCTGCTGTTAAATAGTATGGTACGGACAATGGTGATTGATGACTGATTTCAGAAGAAAACAATACTGGCAATGAAAATTTCTTAGAAATGGGCTCTTGTTCTGGCTGAAAGTCTGCAGTGACTTGTAATCATGTTTACAAAGAAATTTAGTCAAAAATTGACAAAAGAAATATTGTCCTCTATCGCACAAGATTTTAACTGGTGCTAAGTATGGGGCTCATAATATAATATTCCTAGTAAATTTATTGTGGAATGTTTTGCTTGGCAAAGAGTCAGTGAATGTCTATATACAATGGACAGTGTGTAGAAACCCTGTATATTTTTACCAGTATCTTACTCAGTCATCCATAACACTCTAGTGCAAAAAATTTGTGCATTAACATTTTGCAATATAACGGCTGATTGGGAAATTGGCAAACTGCCCTATGTAAGAGATACACTGAAAGTTTCCTTAATTTTAGCAAGATTTCAATGGTAAAGCATTTGCAGGTGTATGCAACCTCAAGGAAAGTTGTCTTCTCCTTCAAGAGAGCTTTAATTCTTCAGAATATTCCCGGGGATAATCTGTGATGCTATCATTTGTCACAGTACTCAAAGGATTTATCCAAGTGCCCAGAAGAATGCATTGAAAGGCATCCAGCCACATACAAATATGAAAGTCTGAGGCATTAAATAGGATAAATTGGCATGACTCGGCAGTCTTCCTTAAAGTGTGCCTTGATTTGAAGCAGATGCAGCCAGGCATTTTGATCCATCTTTAAGATGAAAAAATATTCTTTGTCTGATCCCCAGAAGACTGACACATTTTTACCAGAAAATTTAGCTGCATGTAGGCCGACAGAAGATGTTAAAGATTACAGCAGCAAAGCCAAGAGAAGAAGGGAAACTGGTATATGGCACCAAAGGAATTACTGCTTGTCCATCAGAGGTATGGCTATGAATCAGTCATATTGGGCACTGAAGGCTATACAACTGTACAAACTGTGTTCAGAGTCGTATCAAACCTCACAGCCTTTGCCTCTGTGGGTTTTAAGTTTGTGTCATACATGGGATTTTCAAATGAAGCCTGTCCATTACTGTTTTCATGTCCAGCATACCCATTGTACTGTACTTTTGGTCTTGTTCTGGGGAAAAAAAGAGAAAATTACCATTAGTAACCCTTAAATATAAAAATCCTACAATTATTCTAAGTTTTATCTATGTTTCCATCCTGTCTACACAAGTTGCATGACACTGCAACATCCTTTGTAAGTCTCCTTATACCACTTTTAGACAAAGACTTAAAAAGTAAGAGAAATCTATCTGGAAGTTATTTTTCACAGTATGAACAAAAGAAAACAAATTCCTAATGGACAACCTGATGCTATAAAACCACAGAGGCAATGTAGGCAAAATATGGGTATGTATCTTCCATTATAAAAATGTCAAAAGAATGACAACTTCATAGCTTGTTGTTAGTGCCAAAACTGTCAACCGAAAGTAAAGAAAGGTACAACAAAAGTACACACAAAAGTGAAGATGGAACTTGTAACATTTATATTTTCTGTCAGTACTAACAATTATGACATTTTTTGATGGCTTTTTCACTTCTAAATTGCTAATCTTACCACAAAAGAATCCTTACACAGAGTGGAAACACTTATTCGAGCTTTACTAAATTAACACCTTACCAATTTTCAAATATATATCCTTGTCTTTCTAAAGTATTGACATTAATGTAAAAAATACAGTAGCATCTTTACTTCGTAAATTTAATTTTGTCACCATCAAGTGCATTCTAATTGACTTTCATGGAGATTTGGGATTTTACACACATTTATTTTTACAATATACCTAGGAAGGCAAATGGACTTTCTGTGCAAACATTCTGATGAAGATCAATACACACTGTGAATTTAACAGGCTTGAATGGAATAGATGACTAGGTGTACATAGAAAGATTAGAGAGAGTGCCTCCTAATTCATCCTTTTGATAGCATGTTGGGTTGTAGATGAGTTAAACACCCACAGATGTTATTGACTTAGATGTTTTTGAGCAGAGGCAGTGGGAACCATTTGGTAATTTGCTGCTATCAGCTGTTTATTACCATTCCAGAGCAGGAAGTTAGCACTGTACCATTGAAGTGCTGTAACAGGTCTCCTGGGTACTATTAAATCTGAGAGAGTGCAAAGTCAGCCAGCATAGCTTCAATCAGGGAACTCTTGCACTGACATAGAAAATGTCCAGAATGTGTTGAACTGCTAGAGGTAGTAACCTTCAGATAAGGGTCAGTAATTTCTGTTATTTCAGACACATCTGCCATGGCATGTCTACTTACCTCCATAAATACTTACAGCAATAAACACTACTGAATAACTTGACAGAGGTTTCATATGTCCAAACTTATGCACTCAGGATAGTTAGGATCAGATCCCAACTAATATTCACATAAATTTTTACATCTAAATGCCAAATCATTATCCTTCAGTCCACTCTTCTATTTTGTATAGTTTTATCACCATGAAGAACACATCAAAACTTCAAGGATATTCACATTTTAATGCAAAGTTGTGTTAGAACATAATAAATCACTAATCAAATGAAAAATAAAGCAGAATTGTGCAGACTTTGTGATATATCCAGTAAAATGATATCCTATTATATTATATTTTACTACTTTAACCTTAAACTCCTTAGCATCTGAAAGTATATAAACAAATACATAAAGGAGGTTTGGTATATAATTTTATACATGTAATTGAAATAGTGCAAGAAAGTCAATGAAAGAATGGAAACTGTAGCTACTTCGTGCTTAATAAATGTAAAACAATTTAGAAAAAAAATCTCAGGAATAAACCAAAAAAGGTTCTTCAAAATCAAACTGGTTTTTAGAAAATAATTCTGTTTTCAATGGCAGATAGGGAAAAATTGCACTAAGAAGACGTCAGTAATAGAAATTGACGACTAGGAGTTTTCCTGAGTTTAAGTAATTAAATATATTTTAATATTTTTCAGAAAGAAAAATGAGATGCTGTCTTTATTCCTGAAGCAATCTCTGCCTGTCAGATAAAGGAACAGAAACTGTGTAAAGAAAGTTAACAACCCTGATTCCAATTAGATGATAGTAATCTGACATTGGTACAGCAGAAACATCCATAAAACTGTCCCCTAAGAACACCTTCAAATTCTCTGATATAGAGAGCCTCCATGGGCTTAACAACTATCACATAATTGTAAAAATTTCATGTTGTTATTCTGGTCATTAAGGTAGTTTCAAGAAAGTGCCTTGAAAAGTCACAGAATCTGTTCTCTTTCCTTTGGAACATTTTTTGTTTTGAAGTGAATAAAGGTGACCTGGAGTTACTTTACAACAGTAATATACTCATTAATTTTCTGATGAAAATAAGAGACTGATAATGTCTCTAAAACCTGTGGTTTCAAGGAAGAAATGGTTCAAAAATATAAAAAAGGAAGAATATTATTTGAAAGATTAAGCTAATGAGTAGCATCTCCTTTTTAAATTATCTGATGTATTTAAATTAGATGAAGGTAGGCAGAACTGCAATCCTGCACCAGCAGTAACATAAACGTTAGGATTACAGCTGCTCAACTGAAGACTAAATTTTATCTCTCTTAAATATATATATTCTTAGTGAATAGAAAAGAGAATCTCCACTGCTCATGTAGTACATAACAAACTTCACAGAATAAACCACAAAATCTACCCCTATGTCACAATACTGTTTTTCTTAAGGTTTGCCTCCCCTTTCTGAGAGCAGAGTAACAGCACTGTTCCCTTTATGTTCCATCTCTTCACCTGATCTGAATGACTGTGTTTTCATGCAGCCCTATATGTTCGCCCCATTGCAAAAGAGGAGCTATATGAGAATGCAGAGCTGTAGGCATCAGAAAGGGATCTTACATCACCATATTCTGAGACAGAGTTCATAGATCTTCCTGAGCAGGTTTTTTTCAAGAAAAGGCTACATTACAATTCAGCACATGTATCATTTTAACTGGAGTTCACAAGTTCAAGCACCACTGCAATTTCTTTTTCCCAAATTATCTAATGCTCAGGTAGGTAGACAGTCCAGCCCATTGTAGGGCAATGGTAGACTTCAGTTTTCCTATGTCAGCTATGTCTGTTCCTATGTTTTAAAATCACAACATACTCTTGGTATCATGGTTATAGAACAAAACTTTTAAGATTATGTTACAAATCAGCATTTTTGTTAAACACCATTTTGCAAACTGCAGATAATATGAGGTCAGAGACTATTGTAGGTCAATATAAAAAACCCAAGAATTGTTCCAGAAATCTCTAGCCATATAGCACTCAGAATGAATAAATGTTCAAAAGATACAGATATCAGCTTTTAAACCAAATTTCAGATAAAATGGTTAGATTTATTGCATTATCTAGTAAGATTTACATGAGCTGAAGTGGCGCCAATTCTAGTAGTATCCACTAGCTTGTTCAGCATGTACTGTAAGTAGTCTCATTATGCTGTTCCCTCATGGTATTTATGGATTTTTTCAGTTTGTATAATTAATACTCATAAGCATTTTGGAAGAAGCAGTATATGTTCAAATTAATAAAGCATTGAAAAGAAAGAATAAACCATGTGACCTGAGATTTCAATCTGATTCAGCCTAATGAACCTAACAAACCAAGAAATTTTATAGGTCTTTGCTCCTCAACACAGTGACTCATTTTTCTTGTTCACTATAAAGAATTGTTTTGCACTAAACCCCTTCATGGGAATGCTTAGAAATATTTCTTTCTAGAGTGAAGATACTCTTGAAAGCTTTAGCTTTGTGTTCTCTAGTTACACTTACCTATCAGAATTAAAACAAAAAGCTTATTAAGTTACTCAATAAATAACATTTACAATACCTGTGTTTGTAGAGGTAAAATGCAAACCCTGATAATATTAGAGCAAAGAATGGCACCAGGATGGCAGCGGCAACAGAACTGCTGTTTGTACCGTAATAGTGATTTGAAAGGTCTGTGTCTGCACTTAAAGGACCTGAAATGAAACAAAAAGGACAGAAATAAAACTCCCAAGTTTTCTATCTCACAGTTCTCTTTTTATTCAAGAATAGAAGAAAATTGTGTACTGAAAACATAATTCTATTTAAAAATATGAAATAAATAGCATGCAGTATCATAGTATAAATCTCATTAATACCACTTTATCAATAACTATCAAAATTATTTGAAAACAGTATTCAGCAAGTAAAATAATTATGAACTACACCTCTCATGAGTCACTGATTTGATACAGTTAAGCCATATACCTTCTGAAAAAATTATTAACACGGCAAAAAGTATTCTATGCATGCAGTCTTAATATTCAGCTTAAAACCAACAAGCAATGTAAGACCACTTCAAACATGACAAAGGAAGAGAAAACTGAGGTAACTGCAATAAACCACAATGGTTCTACTCAACTCAATAGCACTCCCAAGTCTGACCATTTGTATGCATGTCCTGCCTGCTTTGTAACCCCCTATTATGGGTGAGACATGAGCATGTTTTAGACCCTCTGGATGCTGTGTTTGCACTGGGATAAAACTGAGGTGCAGAGATTGCAAAGGCCTGTGGTGTGGCCTTGCTGGGTTCCTGTGATCAACAAGCAGATAACCTGGACTGTAAGGCATTTTGCAGATTGCGTTTTTCCCCTAAGCATAAAAAGAGAAGCTTAAATTGCTTTAATAGATGGCCAAATTGAAAATTCAAATTGTGAAGGATGAAAAATAATTTCATAGTGAAAAATATACACAGCCAACTCCATGTTGCCTGTTTGCATGCACAGTTCTTGAGAAAGCAATATACAGATTCTATCCAAGGAAAAGAGACCAGGACAGAGGGAAAGTACAAAGAGGATGGGTCTGGGACATATATCTGGGCCTTCTGTTCTGGGATATTTTTGCTTATACTAGCAAAGAAAACAGGAGACACTGCTGTTTACCCCTCAGAAATGTGCCAACCCACCAGTACACACTGTCTCAAACACCACAACTGCCTCCTTGATGTCAACAGCATCGATCAGTCTCTAGCACAGACCAGCTATATAGCAGAGATACAGTCATTGCATTGCTTTTAGCAGCCTACTAAAATATCAAAATAAGTTGCAAAATGGGGAAAGAAGCAAACAATTCTCCCCTCATTTCTTGCAGTTTAAGCTTAATGAGAAAGAAGAACAAGGTAAGTTTTTGCTCTGTTAGCTATTTTTAAAACTTAGATGTTTCAATTGCTAATATTATAATACATTTTGTGCAATTTGTTTTACAAAAAAGTATTAGATTCTAGGAAGTTAATAAGTTCCTTTTAAAATTAAGATAGCCCCCGTAGGAATTTCAGAATTGCCAGATTTGATCACTGAACATGACGAAAAACTGTACTTGAATGTTTTCCACTTCTTTAATCTGTCACATTTTAAACTTCTCTATATTTTTCTGTAGAACTGGTGAAGGTTAACATTTTCAAATTAATAAAATGAATAGTGTGATAGTTGGAATAATGTCATGAGCTTTATCAAACAACTGTGGAGTATCTTAATTAAGACTGAACTGTTTTAGAGAAGAACCAATGTATTATAAAAATATTTGGGCTTTAATAATCCATTATTTCTTGCAAAATTCAAGGTGCAGAGGGCCTGTTGGCACTGGTTTATGTATTTCGTATTGTATTGCACATGTACTTCAACCACTCTAAATTAAAGACAGAGAGAATGAAGTAGTTACCACAGTTAAGAGAAGTTTAAGAAATGCTAATTTAAATGCCTCTTTTTTTATTGGATAGAAGAAAAAATAGAAATTTTAAAAATTTGCATGCAGTTATCACTGCCTTTATCCTTTACTATCACAATCCTCAGCATTTTTTTCCAATAATTTGGAGTAATTAGTAACAAATATGATAATGGTCAAATTCACTGTAGTCAGCTTATATCAGCAAAAACCTACAATTAATATAATCTTACTTTAAATTCTAGACAAGTACCAAACGAAACAGAAATATATATGATCAATGAACTCTTCATTTATATCTCCAAGTTATTATCATGGACCATATGATAGGTACATTTCAATGTATAAGTAGCACAAAAATTATAAAATATCTAATCAGAATTTAGCTAAAATCAAACAACAGTTTTAAATTAATAATAAACATTTTTGTATAAAATTTTGGTATGGAATTATTTGAAATTTTAATTTTTTTTTTGTTTTGTTTGTAACTGAACATTTAAAACGAGGCACAAACATATATTTAGATGATTTCTTTTTAAGTGATCTGTGGTAACTGACGCACAGGTAATAGTACTTAGTACTCAAATATCCTATAAGAGGTAATTGAATATTTCATATCTCTGCAAGTTTAGAAGTACCACATTAGGGTAACCAAGCTTGAAATTTTTAACTGAGGTTCACAATCTTTAATTGGCATTGGAGAAATGTTGACCAGGTTTGGACTGTGCATCGGGTGTGTTTCTCATTATGGAAGAGAAACTTTGCTGCAGTTCTGGATAATTTTAATTTTATCCATGTATGATAAGTCAATATAACTTCAACACAGTCTGATCTACTTATTACAATCATTTTCAGAGCTGTTTGTGATTAAACAAATCCTGATGTGAACTTTGTATTTATTCTGACAGCATTATCATGATGAGAAATGGGAAAGCCTATTGTACTGCTCTAACTTAAATACTGGTTGTTGGCAAAGCTAAAATGAGAAAAGTCTGAATACCTGCATGCTAATAGACAAGATACAATTTTCATACAATTTTAAAGGACAGTCCAGAATGGAATAAAAATGGCCAAGATTTTAGAATAAACATTTTCTAGAAGTTTAGAGACCAAGTTACTAAAACACAACAAAACAAAACAAAACAAAGTCCCCAAGAAAGACTAATTACTTGACAAACGAGGTTAAACAATTTGGTGTCACAACATGGGCCCCTTAAGCAGGCTCACATACAGTTCTAATTCTTTTGGCAGACTTGTAACAGAGATTTCCTTCCCCTTTGGGTTACTTTTTAAGGCTAGAAGCAAACAGAATTTCTTCTGAAAAAGGATAAACAGTACTTAGAAAAAAAAGTTCTTTTTTTTTTTCATGTCATTAAGTTCCAAGACTGGACACATCCATTGAGGTGTTGAAGGCCAGGCTGGATGAGACTTTGAGCAACCTGCATGGCAGGGGGGTTGGAACTAGATGGTCCTTAAGGTCCCTTCCAACCCAAACTATTCTATGATTCTCTGATTCTATGATAGGGAATTCTTCATCAAATAAGTATCTCTCAGGAAATGCTGGTTTTTGATGTATGCTTGCAGGTGAAGAATTTCATACTGCATTATGTATACATCAGTGCATGCATATATGTATGTATACTTCTGGCTCAGTGTAAAGGCATCAAATAATTTAAGTTACTGAAGAAATGGAAATATGTCAGATCTTCAGCTGGAGGACATACGAGACCATTTACTCAACAGAGTACTCATGAACAGAACAGATTTGAAAACAAAGCAAGTTATCCTTGAATATGAGAGGGTATGGACAAACATTAACATGTTGGCTGGAAATTTGCTGTTTCCTTTTAGCTGTGGGTTCTTCGATAGAGGACAAACAACTTATAGACAATCAGTGCCTATTCAGCAATCATATAAGAAAATCCTCCAAAAGAGACAGCATCTGCATTTCTAGTGAGCTCTTTGATGAGATGTCAGAGGTGAAGATGAGAGACCTTCAGCTTAGGAATGCATGTGTAACTTGGACACTTCGGCACCTTACTAGCTTTGGGAATAGACAAACTGAACTCTCATATTTCAGCTCTATATGGTGGTATGGACAATGTTTTCCACTACTGTAGAATCCACTGGATAATGCTGTAAAAATTGATTTTTCATTGTGCTTGTCTTTCATTTACCTACGTGAGTTATTCATTTCACTGCTAAAACACATGGATCCAAACTTTTATTTTGTACCTTGCAAACCATGGATATCTTTTTTGGCCTGGCTTAAGAAAAAAAATGCACAAAACCACATCCCTTCAAAACCAAAACCAATAAAACATATGCTCACTGTTATGAGATATCAAAAGCTTCTAAAAAAGACAGATATTTGAACAAATCTTGATGCTTTAGTTTTACAGAGTGCTTATTAGAAACAAAAAGCATCTTAGATACAGGGATAAATTTTAGATGAATGTACAGACAGAAAAATAATCTGTCCCACAGGAAAGTTTATTCTGAAGACTGAATTTATATTTGGCTTGAATAATTGGCAGTTCTTAGGCTAAGACTCTAAAGAGTAAGGTTCCCGCCCCTTGGGATTAAACATATATAGTAATTTGAGAGGTGGCCAAGATGATCGAATCCATATGATAACTGCTATTACAGCAGTTAATAGAGCAAAGAAATACAAGGGAGATTTTGCAGAACTTTAAAAGTTATTGGGTATAGCACCAATGAAGTTAATGAAACCAAGGCAATCTATAAAATGTAGATACAGTCCGCTACAGATATATTGGCTAGGCTGTCTCCTCCTACTAGCCTAGTACTTTGTTATATATATAATGTTTCAACCACTCTGCAGCAGTTCGAGGATCAGGAAATGCAGATATCTATACTTGTTATTTGCCACAATTTTTCTATCAGTAAATATTTAATGAGTAAATGTTTTATTTGTTTTTATGACAAAATTATTTTATTAGTAAAATGATTAGTTTTTCACCAACTGCTGGAGAACTTAAATCCACAGTTTTTCTATATTCCTCAGTCACTCATTTCATATTTTTGACAGCAAAAAGTAGAACTGAAATCTGTCCTTTTAATTTCCTATATAGTTATGACTGCAATTTACACATTTTAGCAGAAAATGTCTTTGCATTGAATGACAGCCCTGTTACTTTCAAAAAGATATTCACAGAAACGCAGGCAGTTGCAACGGCATCCTCTTTGAGAGGATCCTGTAGTTATTAGGTTGCTATACTAGTAAATATGAGATGGCAACATGTTAAGTAGAGGTAAACTGGGATTTGAACTGTATAGTTCAAATAAGCATATTTCACTATATTTTATACAATAACAATGGTATGAAATAAGCATGCTTACTTTAATTAGATAGCTGAATCATTTGTTGAATTCATTCTTGCAAGACCCAAAATGATTATATATATTATACCTCTACAAATGCACTTACCTTGTCTTTGGAGCATAAATTTTCCAAAGTCTTTTCCATGTATATCACCTTGATAGGTGAAAACACCTCTTTCAAGCCCTGATGATACCTGGAATATGTTAAAACAGAAAAAAAGATTTCTGAAACAAATAAATAAGGATATTTAGCCATTTGATTTTCTGAGTTAGTTTAGATACATGGAGCCTAGATTTTCAATTTTATCCTTTAAAATACTAGTGCACTCTCTATATAATATTTAACATTTTAAGTTGGCAACAGCATTAAATAAAGTTAAAAAAACACCTGGAATGACTTAAAAATGTCTGATGTATATTGCTGTGATTTAAAATTCTTCAACTGGCATACACATAATTGAATTACTATATGGATATCAAAGTCCACTGAATTGTCATGTATTACATTGTTTTCTATAGAAAGCATTATGAAGCACAAAGGAGAACTGTGAAGAGTAAAATAACTCTCTTTTTCTTCAAGATTAAATGTTTTATAATAGTGAACTATTTACCAAAAAATAAAAAAGGACAACATGGTCTAGTGGAAGGTGTCCCAGTCCACAGCAGGGAATTTGGAACTAGATGATCATAGGGTCCCTTCCAACCCTAACTATTCTATGTTTTATGATTATTTCTAAATGTAAAATTCCTACTCTCATCGAAGAAAACATGGCACAAACATGGCAACATATACTGATTCACTCCACCTTCCCCTTAGTAAACTAAAAATTTTAATGGGAGTGTGGCAGATAGACTTTTGTATACCTACTTTTTAAAAGAAAAAGAATGTGATGTGTACACTGAGATCTAGAGTGCCCTATGCCATATTTATAACATAAAAGTTGGACAGAAGTATATAGAAAATCTCATATTATTTCAAATTAGCAAGCTTTATCCACAGCAGTCTGGTTACTTACATAACCATCTAGTGCCCAGTTGTCATTTTCAAACTTGCTTACAAAAATGTCACTAGGTCCTTTGATCTGAAAAACTTTCAAGAGCAAATGAGCTTCTTCTTTCTTGTAAATACCTATTAACATAAGGGAGGTAACACATGCCTCTTAAACAATATTTCAACCAGTTTTTCCAAATATCCTTTCAAATCTAAGTGTATCGTTTTAGAACTATATAGTATTTTGTAGAAAACATTCTGCAATAACAGATTTTATAACCGAGAGAAAACAAGTTCTAAAGTGCTGTAATAAATGAAACTTATTTTATTTATCTGCCCACATCATATTTTATAACAGGATGCAAAAATGTTTTTGTACTGTTTAATTTTATATACATAGATGATTTGTCTTCTCATACAATATTTCAATAATTCTGAATACAGATAAAATTTCTTGCCTGGGATTTTCTTGAAATGGAAAAAAATGAATCTCACATCATAAGAGTATATTTCTATAGTACATATGAATAGTGTACTGATAAAAAATTTGCTATTTGGCAGACTATGGAAATTCTCTCTGAACTTTTCACCTTAAAAAGTACTGATAGCTGATAATGTTTTTTTCAAATATAACTGATCACAAGCTAAATCAGAACTTTCTAGTTAGATTTTCAGAAAGGAATACACTATGTTGATTTAAAGGTATGCATAATTTACTAAGTTATTAAATGATCTGTGCCTATTTTATGCCATTGTCAATATCATATTGTTTTAAAGCAGATATTAATCACTATGCAATAATGGAGTTTTTCAATGGTAGTTTTTAAAATGCCTATATACATTTTGTTTGCCACTTCAATATTACCTGTGAGTTCAACACATCAATACTATCCAAAAGCCTGAGATGAAAAAACCTTATTTCAATATTTATTTGAAATATAAGGGGAAAAATAGATGGGTGACCACTTTGACTGCAATCTGTGCAGACCATTACATTAGGACCTTTCCTTTTACAAAATCCGCAGAGAAATATTTTGAGTGAAGTCCCTGCCCATGGTAGGGGAGGGGTGGAACTATATGATCTTTAAGGTCCCTTCGAACCCAAACCATTTGATTCTATGATTTTGTTTCATTTTGTGTTTGGCAGAAAATGCAACAAAACTTAACAGATTAAAAAAACAACAACAACAACAACAACAAAATCTTTTTAACACCAAATTCTGAACCTACCTGATAGTTTGAGTTGTATGTTGGATACCTCAATGAATGTGGCATTCACTTTGCTGCTTGTAGTATTGAACCAATCAACTGTCAGAGTAGCAGGCTGTCTTTTTCCTAAATATTCATAGAACCCTTTCCACAGTGAATTTATGAAAAACACATCTGAGGGAACTGAATGAAAGTGGGCAAAAAAGAAACAAAGGTGTAAACTACAAAGAAGCAGCAATCTTTCTAGCCATGCTTATGTTCTTCATTTTTTCTGTTAATACCTATCCAATGTTCTAAGGAGCTATTATGGTAAAAATTTTACAACAGTAAAGACAATATATCTCTTGACCTTTCCACACAGTTGCCTATAATATATTACACATGTCCATTACAACATATGTTCTTAAATAACCTCACACTACATGGCTTGTGTGCTTCAGTGAATGTCCCCAAGAAAATGAAAAATACTGGACTCTTCCCCTAAAGCCCTGTACTTTTAAGTATGATTTAAAAAATAGAATGTTTTGAAGTCAGGGATTCCTGGAAGGAGACGCTTTCTTAGGACATCCACTCTGTTTCAGAAATCTATTAAAGCAGCACGGTGTGTGACTTTCAACTGAGTATCAACGGAATATTCAACTTAATTCACTGAATTCCAGATACAGTTTAGCACAAGTTTTTATCTGTCATTTTTAGACTCCACATCTTTTCTCCATACAGTATCACCAGAGAATAGTGAAGTTGATAGAGCAGGGAACTTTTTGGTTTAAAATAAAGGTCTGTTTCTCAGAAAAAAACAGTTTATATAATCTGAAGTAAAAAAAAAACCAAAACAATCCTACAAAATGAAACATAAATTATAGGCAGAAGTGTATGCATTTGATGTTATATATTATTTAATGTTATTGATATTTTTCCTCTATAAAAGAAAAAAAAAAGAAGTTCTGAAATGTGGTATTTTAAATATTTGGCTAAATGACTGACAGTGTAGAAAAAGTCTCTCTTATTCAACACTGTCTGCAATATTAACATTCATTAAAATGGAAACACAGAAGAGAAAAAATATTTTAGGAGAAGATCTTACGTCAGTTACATTTTCAGGGTGCTACATATCTTGAACATTCATTTCTTCCTTACACATTTATATATTTCTCCCATATACTTTCCTGTTCCATGTATTTCTCCCATATATTTTGCTGTTATAAAATCTGGGGTAGACTTCCTTCAAGTATGAGGTAAACTTAAACAAACAGTTCATTTGGCCAAAAGAAACCAAACACCCTCTAGGCCAGGGAGCACCCCCTGTTTCCTGGCAGCTTCTGACAAGTGAAAATAGGCATTATTCTACTTAATTTTAAGCTTTTTCTAGCATTACAGGTTGAGAAGTATAGATTTAAGAAAAACCTCATAAAAGGAACTTTTTGAGCAATCACATCTTGGCAAAATGACAGCCATAGTGACTGTTAAAATTCACCCTTACTGTCCATGAGCACTACAAATGATACTTGCTGAGTAACTAAAGACTGATAATAGAGGTGTTTCACACTCTTCTAACTCAACTCTCAAATTACTGGATTTTTTGCACTGCATTTTATCAAGATCCGAGCATATGTAAAGTCTATATTGAAGGAAGTTTATCAATGTAGGTATCCTATATATCCATTTTGAATAAACTACATGGATATTTCCTCCTCCATCTAAGCCCTGCTTGCAAAATAAATTAAAAAGAAACACAGATCAATAATACCATATATTTCCAACAAAACATGCTGACAGGTAGTACACCTGTAATTCTGATGACTGAATCAGCTACTGAGTGTCTCTTAATATTATTATAGTTCCTAGGATACATTTTGTAAAGAGGAAGGATAACTTCTTCAGTGCCTTTTGCTTTCAAATCATGCAAAAGCCACACTCAAATGTTCAAGCTACACGTGCCATGATTTGAAAACATCATTAGTATGTTGTCTGTACCACCACTAGATTCCATGCTAATGGAGATCCATTTTGTATGTCTTTGAGTACAACAGGTGCAAAGAATTAAGTGCTCCCTTTCCAAAGCAAAATTCAGTGTGGGACTGAGGTTTTACACCAAGTAACCTCAGCTTAACACTGAAAATCTGAAATATTTAATTTCACCTTTTATTTCACAGATCTTATAATTTATATATTTTGCAAAATCAGAATCTCTTTTCTACATATTTCTCATTGCTTTGTTACAATAGCGACCTAGTGCAAATGGGAAACTTTGCATTTTAAAAATATGTTAAAATTGTTTTTATTTGTCTTTGCTTTTAATTAAAATTGTGTGTCTGAATTTATTTTCAGGAAGATGAACATCTAGTTTTACTGGTAGTAACGTGACAGGTGCTATGTAAGACATATAAAGCAGCAGACACCATACTTCCTTTGTCACATTCGACATTTTCAGTATCTGGTTTCTCTAACCATTCTGTCAATATTAGTTGTTAATCTCTTTGAAATAGTAATATTGACTTAGAATTTATAGAATTTGCATTTATTTTCAGGAAGATGAACATCTAGTTTTACTGGTAGTAACGTGACAGGTGCTATGTAAGACATATAAAGCAGCAGACACCATACTTCCTTTGTCACATTCGACATTTTCAGTATCTGGTTTCTCTAACCATTCTGTCAATATTAGTTGTTAATCTCTTTGAAATAGTAATATTGACTTAGAATTTATAGAATTTGCACTCCCTTTTTTTTGGAAAGAAAAGAGAAAAATGTATTTCTGCTTCCCCAGTCATGTTTCTGTAAAAGGTTAAAATACAAGTGCTGCAGTACCATGGATACTGCTCAGGAATGGGTATGGCTCTGAAGCACTTCTGCCCTTGCAATGTCCCTGCCATTCCCACCCACTGTGGAGAAATGCAGAATGAGAAGAATGAAATGGGAATTATTATTCTAATACTTCACCAACAGCAGATTCTCCCCAGAATGTGACAAGTGGGGAAATCCATGGCTACTCATTAAAACAGTCTCCTAACTATTTTTGCAAAGACTATAAAAAGCAGTGAGAACCATGGGAATCAGAGTATTGTAGTTCTCAAACTTCACATGGGTATTGTGAGAATGCTTTAGTTGCAATTACACTCAATTACAATTTACAGTACTGTAAAAATTATAGTTACTTTTGCTTATGAATACATTAATGCTGGCAAAAATACCAATTTAATGAACAATAATAAAGGTATGATATTAAGATATCTGAACAAAGGATATCGGAACATGAATATGATCTTTTACAAAACCTCAATTTTAATAATACTAATTTCAACCCATTTAAAATACATATAGCACCAAATGGAATTGTACCAAGAGCTAAGATAACAAGGTAAAGAAAATGCTTCAAAATACATCGTGTTCTATACTCAAGAGAATTCACAATTATAAAAGACAATAATAGTGCAGACTTGGTTTTTAAAGACATCTTAAGACTTTTCCTTATTAATTAATTTCAATTTTTTACACAGTTTAAGTTCTCTTGTTACCATTATTTGCATTTTCAGTCATAATATTTCATTGTTTTAAAAAATGGCTTTCAAACAGTACTTATCAAAACTACAGATAAGGCACATGAGGTGTTGTGAATTGAAAGTGATACTGTGCATAGTGAATAGATTTGGAGGTTTGGTCTATATTTTAATTTGACATTGAAACCTCAAAACTTCTGTGGTAGCAGATTAACGTGTAAGTAAGGAGTTTGGTGAAGTGAATCCTCGAATAAATGAAGACTGTATATTAATTATAATGAATGAACATTATAAACTGCTTTACTGTGGGTCTGCAGAAGTATGCATTTGAGAAGAACTCATCTATGGTTTCACCAGACACTCTCTCTTATAAACTCACCAGGAAGGTTAATTATTAGCAGAAATGCCTTTTTATATCATCCACTCTACAGAGTCCTTTGTGAATTGTCTTGGGTGTGAACCATTAATCTTATTTTCCCTTCAGCTTGCTAAAATTCAGAATATAGAGGTGCAGGCTCATTTATTTGGTGAAAACTGTGATTATTGTTATATAAGTCAGTAAAAATAAATTGGGCCTTTAATTTTCTGAAAATGTTTGAAACTAAAGAGATCTACATCATGATATTTTCAGCTGTAATTGTTTATTTTGTCACTAGCAGAAGGAAATTATTAACTATACACATGATGATGAGGAGGCATAGAAAGCAGAATAATGTCTGCCTGCTGCTGGTGGTCCACACAGTTTAGGAACTTCTATCGTATATCTTGAGAGTTTCCATGAAATGAAGGCCATCACAATTTCCACAACTGATTTTTTTTTTTTTTTTTGGTTCCTTACAACACTGGGAAACTTGCAATATAAAAGGCAGAATTTTGAACCCAATCTCTGAAATTGCAGTCTACGCTCATTATAAGGCTCTCCATTATAGCAATCTGTCTGATACAGAACTACTTCAAATCCGGGTTTTGTCTATATATGCTTTATCTTTTGGCTTGGTGGTTTGTTTTTTTTTTTTGTGCAATTCACAAAATTGGTACTGTAGAAATTAAAAAAAAAATTGTTAGGAAAGATTTTCATAGAATAGGTTTTACATGGCACCTGTTATTATGAAAGACCTCAACATTTATGTTCCTTTGAAATGAGTAATAAGTGCTTGTTAAATATTGGAAAAAGTTTTATTATTCATAGCAATCTAATGTGTAAATGAACCTAATTTATTTAGATCTAAAACTCTTCTTGTATACAAACCTGGCGTTTTAGTTATAGTTTCATTAACTTCTCTCACTCCTTTACCTACAAGTAAAAAGACAAATTATCATTTTCATGAACATATTTCTTTTTGTTAAATAGAATATTAAAACAATGCCTAATGGATGCAATCATCTCTTATTCGATGGAGCCATAGTTAAAACAGAAATTACTGGTCTTGACCACTTTAAATGTTCAAACTTACACACGCAAAACTATCAGAAAATAATTTAGGTAAACAGCATTTTTCTTGTGGAATGCTGTCTGGCTAGCCAAGTATTTCATACATGTCAGCCTAAAATTTTTATATCAGTCCCAGTGCTATAAAAGAGAGCCTTATAGAGGGGACAAATAATATATTTAATTACGAATAATAGTATATTATATATAGTAAAAATAGTGTTAATAAAGATTGATACATTTATGGCACAAACCAGCAAAAGCCAGAGAGCTGGATTAAGATGACAGAATCAGGTATAATGGGAAAGAATCATAACTGGTGTAATTTGCTATATTTCTGGTACACTTAGCAGGTTCACTGACCCCATATCAAGTTGTGGTCTCATACCATTAGCCACTTCAAGAAGGCTAATCTCCTGATTTTTTTTTTTTTTTAATTTTATTTCAGGAGAAAAAATTCGCTCATTAGACTGATCAAGTGCTAAGAAAGCACAAAAAGTGTGGCGTACTCAAGGAGAATTATGCCTAAAACTGTAAGCGGTACACTTAGCAGGTTCACTGACCCCATATCAAGTTGTGGTCTCATACCATTAGCCACTTCAAGAAGGCTAATCTCCTGATTTTTTTTTTTTTTTAATTTTATTTCAGGAGAAAAAATTCGCTCATTAGACTGATCAAGTGCTAAGAAAGCACAAAAAGTGTGGCGTACTCAAGGAGAATTATGCCTAAAACTGTAAGCCAATTAAAAAAACCCAAACAAACAAACAAAAAACCCCAAAACTTGCTTATAGAAACTTTCTGGGTTTTGTCTTTAATGAACAAAACCCAACCCCCCCCCCCCAAAAAAAAAATGCAAGATCATTTAACTCAAACTATTAATTATATGGTATCCATGAAAAAAGTCACTCTTTAAGGAACTACAATAGGAAGATAAAGTTTTTTGTGCTGATCATATGTCTTGACAATGTTCAAAGACGTCTACCCACACATTAATGAAAAATCAAATATTGTTTAAACAACAAACCTATTTATCATTCCTTGACATATCAGAATTAAAAATCATGTGGAAAACATCTTTCCCATGGCATCTGACTCTTGTCCTTTATTCACGTTCTAAATATAATTCTGTCTTGTTTTTATGAATCAGGAATGTATAGCCATGTTTATTCACTTCTGAAGAGCAAATTTAACCCTTATTATTATATACTTAGGGCTACTCTAGCAAACCTATATGAAATTAATATAGATGCAAATAAAAGTGGAATCTGATGCAATTATGTATTTTTTTATTTTATTTTAAATTTTCATTTTAGAAGGATTTTCTTACACAAAAAGCATACCTGAATGAGTCTAAAAGCCAAGATATGAAATAATTTTTTTATTCCTAATAGAAAATCATACATTAAACACTGAATACATTAAAATACTCTTTAAAACCATGACATAAATACAGTTAAAAGTAAAACTTTATGTTGTTTAGGTTTTGTTTGCTCTTGTTAGGAGCAAACATATATATGTGCCTGTTCATTTACACACACATATCCCTAGGTTTTCATCCAAGAGTTCTAGAAGTTCTACTCACTTTTATTTGGTTTTAATGTTTCTTTCATAGAGTAGAAGGTGTTTATATCACATGCATTTTTAAATACTAAGTAGAAAAAATTAATCCTACTATTTAAAATAAAAATACCAGGAAAAATGAACTCCAACCAAGTAGCGTCCAACATAACCCTTGAGTAATGACTTACTTTTACAAATGGGTGATTTTCCTGTCCATTTCATATCTGGTTTACATGTCCGATGCTCTGACCCACCAGCAAGAAAAAATCCTGGTTGACAGGTATACACCAAAGTATACCCTAAAGTAGGAAGATCTATTGCTTTCACATCTACATGTGCTGGTGTCTCTGGCTGCCTGCAAGCATGAGCTGTAAAGGTTTTTTTTAAGTTAGAAAAAGTAATGGTAAGCAGTTTCCATAGGATTAGAGTATGCAATTTGAAATAAATGCATGCCGACTTACTCCATTTCATTATGTAAACCCTGTACACCTTTTAGAAATGTCAAGTAACTATACACTTGTAAAACTCTGAGTGTATAGTTGTATTATTGGGTGAGGATGGAAATGATGCTATCATTCTAAGGTCATTCTATCTAAAGTCATTCTAATGAATTAATTTTACCTTGTATCAGTGTATTTAATAAAGTAGTTATTCAATCTTCTCCAAACTATACAGAGCTATAAATACATTAATCATTTGCATATTCATGCATAGTCCAGAAAACATGAATTTTGCTGAGTTCTAATTTATGATACAGACAATACTAGTCAACAAAATAGCCTCATGCATACTCAGTGCACCTTTGTTCTCTAGTAATCCAACACAGAAAAAAAAAAAAAAACCCACTATACTAATTTAAAGCAGCTAATGAAGTGGGTTAATTAGGATAAGCCTTTTAAGTAAAATATTGTGAACTTCATAAAAAAAAAATCTGAGTAATCTTACTTCAAATTAATATCACAAATACATCTTTGGTCTTAGAGAAAACAAAAACATTTAAAACTACTGTTTTAAATAAAGTTTATTGTTTTGTAACATATAATTTACTATGAATTTCCACATGCATTACTTCATAACTTCTCAAAAATTGCACAGTAGTCTAACTCATTAGATAAGAAACCAGACTTACGAATGCATTCAGACTGTATGCCACTCCAAGTTAAGTTAGCAAGACAAGAACGAGTTGTAGATCCCTGAATATGATAACCTTTTCTGCATCTGAAAAAGACTGTACTTCCAACCTGAGGATCAAAACAGAATGTTAGATAAAAGAGGTATCCATCACCTGTAGTCAGATATCAAGATGGTGATAAGCTACTAGAGATATTTTTTGTAAAAATAAAAATGTCCTCTTTTTACAGTTTTAAGAGTTCAGAATTTTTTAAATGAGATTAAAAGTTTGAGCAATTACTATTTTGTGAACTTATTTGGAAGCAATAAGTGGAAAAATACTGACAAGGCTGTGCACATGGAAAAGAACGCCACTCATATATTTCAGCTTATTAGTTTGTCAGTGTGACAGAAGCAAACTAAATGACTGAGATGTCTCTCTCTTGTACATCAGTGGATGTATTTCAATAGAACTTGACCATAAAGTCTGTTTCAAAGGCTTCTCATTATGTGACTTGACTAAAAAAGGACAAAGAAAATACTATGAAGAACTGTTCCATCTACAAATAAATTCAGTAGAGAAAACTCCAGGCCACAATCCCTTACACAGCACTTGTTACTATAAACTAAGTTTTACTGGAGATGTTCAAGTACCAGAGTGAGACTTCCTATGGTCAACTGTGATGTGACCTTTCCCAGAAAAGAAAGACAAATTAACTGAAAAAACTCTCTTTAGACTGCTGCTGAGAATAGAAAAACATGAAAACTGGATACAAAATTACAAGTGATGAGGAATTTTCATAACATATGAGAGAGAGATTGTGTGGAAAGTTCCAGTAAAACGGACTTAATAATGTTATTGACAAAAGTAACCACAATACAACTTCAGGCCAAGATATTTAAGGATGCTGGCCTGATGGGTAAAGTATTGCTTTTGTTTTGGATAAAACACCTTAGCAATAAATATGAAAAAAAAACCCATAAGAATTAATATTATTTGAAATTGTGCAACTTATTGTTAACTAACATATCACATGGACAAATGTAAGGAAGCTGCAAATGAGTAGTGATAAATGCATATTAATAAAATAGCTTGCAGGTATATAAACGAAGATAGTGCTACACTACAAATTTCACTGGGACTTCAACGGACATTAAAAATTATCTTCAGAAGTGTCTACCTGGTAACTACATACTCAGCTATATAAAAATAGATTATTATGCTAGATGTTCAGCAAATGCAACATCTGTTCTTCCTGAGGTGGCTTGGAAATTCACTGGTCTTTTTAAAGGTCAAATCACTGATACGATTTTGTCAACTTATCCATTTGCAACTATTTTAAAAAACATTTATCTCTCTATCTTGCCAAGGACACACAGCATGTCTGTAGTAGAGACTAGAACAAAATGTAACTGGTCTTGACCCTAAGTCACCTTACTTTTTGTGAAATTGCCAATTCTAGTATCAGTAAGTAATGATGAGTTGCAAGTATTTCATCACTAATCCAAAAGACCAAGCAAAAAAAATTATTTCTAAGTTCAAGGTACTTAGAGAGTTATATTTCTTTCTCATTTTACAGGGGGGGAAAAAAAAAGTGGTACACACTTTATATAATACTTAGATGAAAAACATTGGAGGCATTCATAACAGTCACAGTACAATGAAACACAAAATACACAAAATGAATGAGGCAAGAGAAATTGGTGGTAGATAGGGGAAAACCCTTCAAAGGTCTGCTGCCTGTTATCCCACACTGTCTGCAGATCAGTCAACATTGCATCTACTTTTATTTCTTCAGTCACTTTCTGTCACTTGGTAAACTAATAACCTGTGAGGAATTTTGGGAATTATAGAAAGGACATTCATCACAAAGAACCTAGATTCAACACATTAAATAATTTTATCTTCTCTGACTGAATAAAATGTAACATGAATTGTTAATTCAGTAAAGCCATTTGCTGCCTTTTTCATCAAGGACTACATGGCCTTTAGATCCAACATGTCTTTGGTTGTTAGGTATTTACTGACTGTTCATCACTGTATGAAAGAATTATGATCATAAAGCAAAGTCATTACATAATGTCATATCATATTAGGTAATCAATTCATAAATAGTCCTACTTACTGAAGTATCCTAAAGGATTTAAAACATGATATATTGCAGGGTCAGAAGTTCTTTGTTTAAGCTGTATGTTTAAAAAAAGGCTTAGAATGAAGCATGAGTTTTTATTAAAAAGGAATGGAAATTTCCTAAGGTTGAAATCAGACATTTAGGCCTACAGATAATTTAATATATCTGTAATTACTAAATGCATCTTCATTTTAGAAAGCTAATAAATAAAAGAACAAATTACCTCATAACCTCTGGAACTGTTTTGTATTCCAAAATGTGGAGTACCAGGGTCTGTACATGTATTGTGAGCTGGATCTAATGTAAAATGTGAAACATGACAAATATTATTATGGTATAGAAAGAATACTCTAAAACTGTTTGCAAAGATATAATAATTTCACAAATGTCTAGTGATTACAAGAATTGAATTTTTAATACAATATGTGCATTTCCATATATTACACTTGTATGTCCAATTAAATTTCCATGACAGATCACAGTACTTTGTTTCAGTACATTGCCATTATTTAAGAGTATTTTTTGCAAGTTTATTTGGCAGTGTAGACTTCAGAGGTAGGATTGAATTAATTTTTGCTAAGTTTATCCTTTTAAACTTTCTTGAACACAGAGAATATCCCACTATTCAAAATTTAGATGGAACATTAAGGAAAAATTTTTCCTCTCTTTTTTCCTAACAAACAGCTTAATGGCTAAATTAGATTTCTAAAATAAATACAACCCGTCCGTCCCCTCCCCCCAAAAAGAACCCAAAAAACCAAAAACAACCCAAACCTAAGCCAAGCTGCTTCCTTATAGGAAATAAAATACTTAATTTTTTGATAGATTTTTTTCTGTGTCACTAGGTTTCAAGCGGAGTATTACCTCAGTTGTTGCTGGAGAATGAAAGACAGTATACCCCCATACCCCTCTCCCCCAATACTCTGGCAGAATATAATTAATTATATGATGATCAGTTTGATAAGTGTAACTTAAAGCAACCTGAAACTATTTTTGATTCAGCAATGTCCTCTTGACATTCTGATGGTGCATTTGCTTTGGGGTTGCCCAGTCATATCCAACAGGTATACAGCACAGCACTTGATCCTGGGCTGCATCAGGAGAAGTGCGGCCAGCAGGTCGAGGGAGGGGATTCTGCCTCTCTGCTCTGCTCTTGTGAGACCCCACCTGGAGTGCTGCGTCCAGCTGTGGAGCCCTCAATATCCAAAGGATACAGACCGGATGGACCAAGCCCAGAGGAGGCCACGAAGATGCTCAGAGGGCTGGAGCACCTCTGCTATGGGGACAGGCTGAGAGAGTTGGACTTCTTCAGGCTGGAGAAGAGGAAGATCTGGGGGCTTCCAGTACCTGAAGGGGCCCACAAGGAAGCTGGGGAGGGGGACACTTTTTACAAGGGCCTGTAGTGACAGGACAAGGGGTAATGGGTTTAAATTGAAAGTGGGCAGGTTTAGATTAGATATCAGGGAGAAGTTGTTCATGGAGAGGGTGGTGAGGCACTGGAACAGGTTGCCCAGAGAAGCTGTGGATGCCCCATCCCTGGAAGTGTTCAAGGCCACGCTGGATGAGGCTTTGAGCAACCTGGTCTAGTGGAAGGTGTCCCTGCCCATGGCAGGGGGGCTGGAACTAGGTGATCTTTAAGGTCCCTTCCCACCCAAACCATTCTGTGATTCTATGATCTTCCATACTATGTGATTCCCTCTTGGCAACAAAGTGTGCTTTTGTGCTGACACCAAGAATGCAACTTGTGACTATATTTCCTCTGTAAAAGTTTTTAGTTTTCTGTAGAGGGAAAACTGAACTTATCACATAGAGTAATGTGGTATGTCATTTCACTCTAAGTCAACTTCCGTTTTCAGTGTTGACCAGCAGTAGAGCATAAAGATTCAACTGCACTGACATTTACCAAAGGCTTCAGAAGTTAGGTGGATGTTGACCTAATGTGCAAGAATAAAGCCCAAACACACCCCTAACCATGAGCTGCTTGAATAGCTCAAGAGCTTTTTACAAATTATCATTAGTTTAAATACCATGAGTAATAACAGACACATGAAGCTGAGTTGTCTTTTTTAAGATCTGTCTCATCTGAAGAAAGTGAGAAAAAAAGAATTCTCCAATATTTAAAGAAAATTATCAATATCCAAAAATAGAACAGGTTGCCATCATTTTCTGTCTTATGCTAATTCTAGGCACTGTTCTAGGTATTGTTCACTGATCTTAATTTTCAAATTGCTTAACAATGGTATCTGTAAACATTTTTGTTGGTCTAATACTTTCCTTTTAAGAAAACATAAAAACCATGATGTCAAAGAAAACCTTGTGTCTTTGATGCAGTGTTTTCATGCACTTTTTTTCTCAATGGCCCTGAGATTTAGCTTTTGTAAACATTCTTGCCTCTGCTACAAAACACATAAGTAAGGTGGATTGTCCAGTTATAAAAACTGTGGAGAGAAGGAATTTTGAATTCATATTAAAAAATAGTATTGCGTGTTAACATCTTAACTTACAAATACAGGCTGCTTTTAATAATCACGCTTGCCACCTTTTCCCAGATTGCCCACCCCAGGTCTTCCACACAGCCAATGTCTCAGCCACAGCAAAATACGTAAATGGGCTACTGTCTATATCTGTATGCATTTGTTTAGAAATATCGAAGAGGATGTTTCTATTATTGCACAAAAATCATTTTTTCTAGAGGCCACCCTGAGCTGGATCAAATGCTGATGTCAGTGGGAGTTACAGGTGTCCAACATTTCTCTCAGTTAGTTTGATTGTGTAACATGCTAAAAGCCTATCAGTTGCACATCAGTCAGTGAGAAACTGATAGTACTCGGCAGTTTATCAGAATTTCAAAAGATCAGACCCAGCATGCTTCATCCTTTTGAGTTGTACAAGCCACTTTCACAAAGTACAAAAAGCTTTTTGATTTAGGATTGATTCGGACAAATGCCATTGACTCTCCAGGGAGAGAATCTGGTCTTTAATCTGCCAAAGTCTTCTGCATATCTAAAAAATTCTAAAAATAGCTGTAACAAATTTATGCACTTGCACTTATTGACATTCTGGATTTCAAATAGACAGGCAATCATGTAAATTTACAATTGACTTCATATGTGACTGTGTTTATCCTAAAATTGTTATACTCAAAATATAACCTTATTTATGTAGGTCTTTTTATATTACACAGACGTCTTCTATATATGGAAAGCTAATTGCTAGATTTATGATAGTGTCATAGTTTACAAAGAATATTCTTAGTAGAAATAGCATAAGTAGTGGTAGCTATTACCAATGCATGTTGGCTGAATTCCACTCCAAGTACCATCTGCTTGACAGAATCTTCTTGAGGAGCCTATCAGAATAAATGGGGGTCTGCACTGAAAGCTAACTTCAGATCTGTAGGTGAAACTTTTTCCATTGAGGCGTCCTTCTGCTGGAGTACCAGGATCACCACAAAACACAGCTAATACATAAAAAAAGGAAAGAAAAAAAATATTATTAAAATCATACATGCTTCAACTTAAGTATCCTACAATGTTTTATGTGCATGTCAGGCATACTGAATATGAGTACAAATTCTATGTTCATTTATCTGTGTAGGATTGTAGCTCAAATAAATTCTTGACAGCAATTTAAAATTCATTGTCACTGTTATAGTTATTATAAGCATAAAACTTAACCTTGAAAAATAAAACTTTTAATTGAGACACTTAAATGTTGATTACATTTAGATGACAAAGTAATCTCAAACAAAAGTAGACAATGCTATATTGTAATGCTTCAGAATTTATCCAGTTTTCACATCAGTCACCCACAGATGAGTAGGCTGGAATATTTTTACCCTAATTAAGTAAAAGGCAAAATATTTGTCAGGGTCCTGACAAGATTTGAAACACTGAAAGAGATGAGTTGACAGATTTAGAAGCAGCTTCAAAACAAATACGAACAAGGTATGTGGGTATGTAGTTGACTTCAGAAAGAAAAAAAGAATTTAGAAAGCAGAGCAAAGCTATGAGCTTAAGGGTTAGCATCCTTGCTTTCACCTGTTAATGGAAATAGAAACAGGGGAAAAAAATGAAAATGGTAAAGGAAATTTTAATGATGCTCACTACAAGTCACATTCAGAACATTCAAAATGGTAAAAGATGGAGGTGTCTTTTGGGGAAAGGAAGAAGACCATGACCTTAAATGGGCACAATTAGTCAATTCCATAATGAGGTATGCTTTTTGGAAGAAGGAAGAGGCTACCCTGCAGTGGTATTACCTGATCTTGCTGAATCCTTTTTGAACTGTGAGAAACTGGCTAGCCCAAGACAACTGACTGTAGCTTTGGTAAAGCCCAACACAACTGTACCCTGAAAACTTACGCAAACATTGTGGGATGTCTCCCCGCCAAATTCCTCGACCCTCACAGGAGAGAATAGCTGTGTTAGATAACTGATAGCCTTCTGCACAGCTGTAACTCACACTGGCACCCCAGCGATAATCAGATCCTTCCACTTTCCCGTAGAGTACTGCTGGAGGGGGGCCACAGGTAATAGCTATGTCACCCAAAAAAAAAAAAAAAAAAAAAAAAAAATCAAGACTTCATAGCGTTTAAGAGGATGTAATATAATACCTACACATACTTTAAAAACAAACAAACAAAAATTCATGCTGTTCAGTTCCAACAAACCACTCCTGTGTTGACAAAGCAGCCTGCAATAGACAGAAAACCAATTTAAGCACAAAAATACCACCTCTAGTTTTATGAAGACCCTGAGCTCTAGGTTTCTGGAAGTCAGAAGAGTATACAGCTTATCTAGTTCTGAGCCTCTTCCCTACATATTCATTACTGCTCATTTTGGCAACAGGCTACTAAGCAAGGTAAAACTTTTCAGTAAATATGGTTCTTTTCAACAAATATGTTTCTATGGTTCTAAATATTTGCATTTTATCTTAAACTATTTTTTAAGCATTATTTAAAGCCCTTAATATGACTTTGTTCATTCACCTGCTCATTTTTAAAGTCTTTTAGCACACAATGGACATTGACGTTATTGGTAATTAGTGGCTAAGACTATTTAAATAATTTCTGATGTTTTCCAGCTTCTGAAAGACTGCCCAAAATGATGAAATCTGGAATGACCAAGTTTACATTTACACATCAGTTCTTTCAACAAAGAGCATAACCGTAAAATCACTCAGTCAGTGATTTTTACAACAGAAAATGCAGTCAGTCAAATGCATATGCCAAAATTTAATTAGTGGGCTAGACACAGAGATCACTTTAAAGCCATGCTAGATGAGTTGGCAGTCCAGGACTTTTATAAGCAGAAGATGCCCCTGGCTGTTAAATTTACTCCCTGAACTGCTGCAGTAGTGCTAACAATTTTCACCAGGCTGCGTGCTTGCCTTACAGCCTCATCCCCACTATGACCTTTATGTTAAAATTTGTAATTAGCTATTTGTGAAGCATCTTTTTGGCTATTTATGATGACTACACTACAGCAACAAGGGAATCTTTTATAGGAAGTTTGGTTTGCAGTATCCCTTTACAGAATTTTAGCCATCTAATCCACGATAAAAGGGCCCCAAAAAGAAAATGGGTACTTCTTACCTACCTTTTAAACTGAGCACTCTGATAATCTTTATTGCAGAGTGATTTGTTTCTACTGTAGTCATCAATACCACAATTTTTGTTGATACTATACCACAGCAGATGTGCAAAATAAATACGTTTGACACAAATACTTACCTAAATGTTTTAGTTGCATTTGCATGTTTGTTGTCCCAGATAATGTTTTGAAAATTCTTTATAAAGACACTGATTAGTGAATTTTACATATAGTATCAAAACAGTATTTGTAAACTATCTAAGTTCAAAATCACACCTTTGCAAATTGGTTTACTCTGGTTCCAAGTGCTATCTTCTATACAACGCATGGTAGATGAACTGGCAGGCTCCATCAAGTATCCTGGGTTGCACTGATAGCTGACTGTCTTATTAAAGGTAAAATCAGTTCCAAACTGAATGCCATTTGCTAATGCACCTGGATCTCCACAGCTGATCACTAGTGAAAAAAAGACAAAAAGGGATTTTTTTTCTCAATAAACATTCAATGAAAAACTGAACTTTGTATAGCTAATGTCATTTTTTTTTTGTGTGTGTCCAAACCAAAAAAACTTTTGATTAATACATTTCATACAAAATCAAAACCATAATCTTAATTTCTAGCTAAAAAGTCCTACTTTTGAGGCATTGCAATAGCATGGGCCAAATACTGTGTTCCTTAAATACACTAGCTTAAGCTGGTATGCTGTACTGCTACTGCAGTCTGTTAAGTTAGTGGTAGTTTTGACTGGATTTCTCCTTCCTTCATACTGACATCTTTGTCACTTTATGCCTTATGTTGATGATGCAATGCAATTCCATCAGAGTTACGAAAATCCTCTTCTTTTTTTTTTGTACTGATGTACTGTGGGTCTGGCCTTGCCAGTGAGGCCACTGACCCTACTGGCCTTGCAGCACCCCTCTCCTCCCCACTTGCTTTCCTGGAAAGAGTATCACAGTCTTGCTCCTCCCTGACTCTTGGTCCTTCACAGAATGGTTATCTGTCAGATCTGTTTCCTTTGGCTATCAATCAAAAACTGTCTCAGTAATGTATCCAGTTAGGTAAAATCTGATTTAGAACTACCAAAATGTCATCCTCTATACATAAGCCACACACGCAAAAAAAGGGAAACTCTAGAGAAACACCTATTCTTAGGAATAATGTTAATATTTTCAGTGTTGACATTCATGATGTAAACAAATACAGAAAAGTTACCTACGTATCCATCTTAAAAAGGTATTTCATGGTGTGTATTAAAAGGGCACACACTTTTAGATACATAAAATATTAGTGTATTACAAGACAGATGAATAGGAAAAAAAGTGTTATTTTATCTAACAAAAGAATCATTTTCAGTAGGAAAGCTGGATGACTTACTACTTCAAAACTTCAGAGGAAGAAAGTTTATTTCTGACCTGTGCAGTCTGGAGCAGTGCCAGTCCATGTCCCATTAGCAGTACAATGTCTAGTAGTTAGCCCTGAAGTTTTGTAACCTTCCCAGCAGGCATAAATGACTGAGCTGGAGAATAATATCCCATCAGTGTATATTATCATACCATTGGCTGGGGTTCCAGGGTTCCCACAAGATACAGCTGTGAAGAAAAGGTTAAAAAAACCCAATCATTTCATGATAAGTGACTAACTTTAAAAAAGCTACAGCAAGTTTTACTAAGAAAATAATTATTAGGTATGTTCTTGGGTTAACCCCTTATATCTCTTTGTTTATATGATCGCTTTACTTGCTCTTCTTTTCTTTTGTTGTTTCAATATCTGATTCAGATAGTTTGAACTGCTTGTTCCACTCCAGTTGCCCAGGACCATACCCAGATGGCTTTTGACTGTCTCCAAGGATGGAGACTCGACCGTGCCTCTGGGCAACCCATGCCAGTACTCAGCCAGCCTCACTGTAAATAGATGTTTCCTGATATTCAGACAAACCTCCTGTGTTTCAGTTTGGGCCCGCTGCTTCTTTTCCTGTCACTTAGCACCACTGAAAAGAGTCTGGCTCCATCTTCTGTGCACCCTGTCTTCAGACAGTAATATATGTTGATAACATCACTCCTGAACATTTTCTTCCTTAGCCTTGACAGTCCTAGCTCTTTCAGCCATTCTTTAGAGGAGAGGTGCTTTAGTCCCTTCATCATTTTAATGGCCCTTTGCTGGACTCTGTCCAGTAAGTATATGTCTCTCCAGTACTGAGGAGCCCCCAGCTTTATACTTAGTTAAGAATACAACATTATTTTATCATCTGTTCAGTCCTTGATGCATAGACATTACAAAGAAAGGGAAGATGAAACTACTGTATTGCTAGAAGATAGATGACTGATTTATTTATCACTCCATTTTCATATCTTCACTCTGAAATATTTGTTTAATTTTACATTTAACTTGAGTATCCTCTATTTTCAGGCTCAATATTTGTTTAACTAGATTGATTATTTCACAGTCTTCTTATAAATATATACTTAAAAATGCTATCAGTTTGGATTTAGGTTTTCAAAGCAAAATATGAACTGTTCACCAACTCTTTTATATCGAATTTCTTCAGAGAAATATGAAAGCATATTTCTGGCATAGAATTTCTTTTAAATTAAAGAATAAAAGGCCATTAGTAGATGCTATTCGATGGTGTCATAAATTCCAGTGATATCAATGCATACCTTCACACACAGGCTGTACACCTGACCAGGAACCATTAAGGAAGCATGTTCGTTCTGCAGATCCTCTCAGCTGATAACCCATTTCACATGAGAAACGTAGAAGGCTTTTTATTTTGAACTCTTCCCCTAGTCTAGACCCATGAGATGGTACTCCCGGATCATCACAATAGCCAGGATTATTTCCTGCAGACATAACAGAGCAGAATTATTGGCAGAGATACTATGTGCATAGGTAGTGGTAGTGATTTTACTCTCTTGTGAATAGGACAACTAACTGCATTGTTGCTATTATAATTTATCACTTTTCTTCCAGTGCGAGGGTGTGAAACCAAAGCCAAAGATGAAAATAACATGGCTTTTTAATCTACTTCTTATCTCAGACCCATACAAACCTAAACACACAACGTGATATAAATAAAAGCTAAAAGATAATTGTGAACACAGGAAGCGCCTCTGTCATTTTTCGTCAGTTCAACAAATCTGTTGTCTTTTTGACATAAATAACATGTTCTACACATTGTATATTATTGTTCAACTTCTCTGTTGGTAATAACTTCTAATAACAAAAAATTAGATAACAGCAAGAGTGAAGAGAACTATAGTCAAGTTTCTTAAGAAATATTTTTGAAATACATATATTCATAGAAAAGACTAAAAGGTATCTGGTGCTTTGCACCTGTCAAAAGAATGCAAGAGACATCCCGTAATTTTCCTTATCTTTTAAATTCCTATGCAAGTATTGGTTACAATTTTAGAAGAGAAAGAAGTTGTTGCAAAGCAGACCTCTTAAACATGTCCTTATAGGTCTGATGAGCCAGTTAACTGGCTTATCAGATAAAGCAGCTCCTGCAGGAAATGCTACCCAAGATGGACATAGAAGTATCCTCTCAGTATCAACAATTCATTACAAATTTTGACATAAATTTTTACTTCTCTTATATCCCTGTGTCTAAATTGTAGTTCATAGCAACATTATCCTTTTTTCTCCATTTCTGAGTTATACATCTAGAGTGAATTTCTATTAAAACTATGGGGTTTCCTTTTCAAAATACTGAAATAATTCTGTATGTTGAAGTCTCTATCTTCTTACATAGATTCTTCATCACAGTCATGCCTCTCAGATGAAGGACAGAATCTTGAACAAAGGAATAACAATAACAATAGCAAAGCAGTGAGAAAACTCTGAAAATTTTCTAAAGTCAGAAAGTATGACTACGTGTATGGCATAAGGTCTTTAGTATAGCAAGTTTGAGACAGACACTTTGGATACAACCATGCTTCCTCATAAAAGGAGATCAAGACAGAGTTTCTTATCTCAAGGCTAACTTGGCTTCGATTGTGTCCACTTTGCTTAGTACTACTAACAACTTCTAAAATAGATTGTCTTTGTCACCCAGAACAACAGCATTTGAACCTTTAAATACAGCTTGTAAACTGTGAGTGTCTTGATTCCAGCTGGTATATTCTGTCCACAGCTATACTGTTAAACTCATTCTCTAAAACAGCATGGTTACATTCGCTGTACAAGTGGCTGTTAGAATGATGTCCAGCACACACTAAATTGCAAACTATTTGTGCATTGTTTGATGGAGTGCTATCTGGGGTGGGTGAAAACCATTCTGGGGACAATTCTAAGAGCATAACAGCCTCGGTGATAAAGTACTAGCATCCATGACCTATGCTAGGGCACTGTTCAATCAGCGGTCCAGATGTGACCTCAGGATGTCCTCTGCTTCCCCTTACTCCAAGACATTACTGTTTCACAGAGATTTTCGTCTGCTTAAAATGTGTGAAATAACACATTTTAAGGGCTTTGATTCAGGCTACTTCTGTAGTATGTTTACAACATGAAACGTGTCACATATTGGCTTGTGAAAGCAAAGTCTGCAGGAATTGTTCAGGGTAGAAAGATCTATGTTTCTAAAATTCTGATGATGTCCCACTTTGCTTTGGGACTTTTCTGAGGGATTTATTCCAGACAAATGACGATAATTGTCTTAAACACACAGTTTTGTCTGGAAGAAAGTTTTAACTGGAGCCATGTAGATTTGTAGTCAAAGGGTATAGACAAGGGCAGTTATAGCATTATGAAGGTCCAGACCCTTTTCTATTTAGCAATGTAGATGACTACATATCCATTACTGAAAAAATGAGTGAGTCATCTTAAACAAAAATCTCAACTATTATTTAACTCGTAAGTTACAAGTGTCTAACACTGCAACAGGTCCCAGGTGACAACAAACCCTGAGATCATATTTATACCATGATGCATTTAAACATATTAATCTATAATAAAGAAATAAACCCGTGCAGAAACATACTACAGGTTTCAAGTTTATATTGGGACTGATTTTCATATCCCTTAAGTATAAAACAAATTATCAGTCTCAGTTGTCCTGGGCACAATCATTCTTTCACTGTCATTAGGAATACATATTATACATATTGTGTATTTAATGGAGTAATCTCCTGAATACCTAACATGGAAGATGTAGGTCTTTATATAATTCTAAATAACTTAGAGGAATGACACCTTTTTATTTATTTATTTTTTTAATGTTGGTATGGAAGGTAAGTTTTTTTGTTTAGTTTTTTTATTTTTTTTTTTAATTGAGTTAATAGAGAGAGGTTTCTCATTTTCCTAGGGATTCACCTTCCTCTCAAGATGGTGTCACATCATGTTCAAACTTACAAAATTAAATTCTGCGTCAGTAACAATGTTTTAGTTACAACAGACATATTTTCCCCAACACAGGTGATGACTACAGTGGCCTTTAATATTTTAAAAAATCTATGCATATATAAAAACACTATCATATTCATAACATATCTGAAGAATGTCAATTATTAGTGATTAAAATTTCTTTCTACCTGTATAAGAATTTCCCTTTTGGTGGGAAATGTTCTGTAACAGCTCTAGAGACCTCTGACCTTTAAGTCTTGGTACAATCGCAGATCTGGGATTTTACACTGGATAACATGAAATGTGGGCTTAAGATAACCAAGAAAAGGCCAATTCTGTGTGGAAACTATCCATATGATTGTCCTTCAGAGACTCCTTTTAGGTCTAGGCTTAGAGACCATGACATCAGTGAGGTCTAGTGCAGTTAGAAAACTTTAAGTGAACTCTTTCCTCTTTGACCAGCAGAGGACAGAAAAGAGACTGATTTAAATTCACTTCCCTTCCTTAATGTTTGAATTTATGCTCAGCATCCTTGCAGAATCAGCTTATAAGTGGACCATTTTCAATGAAAACTTATTTAGAGCTTTTTAAAGTACAGAATTTAAATAACTTCACCTACTTAAATAACTTATACCTATTTAAATTAGATAAAATCTGAACTGAATCACATGGAAACAGGTCAGTCCAACAGCGGGCATGTCCAAGAGCTTAGGGCAAGTTATAAGAAGATTCTAGAATGTGTAATTATGGAATGATTTTCACAATAGGAAATTTTCTTTTTAAACATGTTGCATATTTGTTTTCTAGTATACCAAAGTGTGTAGACTTATTTCCCTTACAAAACTTATTAATACACTGTGGATGTCCTTAGTAGCCAAACCTCATCTGAGTTCTTGACTTCAACAAAGCTGTGTAATGTTTTATAGCTTCTTCTAAATTTGCATATAGTCTGGGGAGAATAAAGTGTTCCTGTACTTCCTGACAGTACCAAGAACATTGCAGAAGTTTATGGTATTTGCACATTATAGCACTAATAGAGAATATTGCTGTAAGTGAAAAAAGGAACATAATGTATGAAGTTTACCATCTAGTACCACTGCTTTTGCATTTTTTTTTAATCAACACTGTCTTATGTGACAACTTTTATTTACATAAAGCAGTGTTCACAAAAATAAAATTTAATAAATACATACTATTAAATCATAATTCTACAAGGTTTTAAACAGTGTTTAACAGTTTGAAAGTGTTCTGTGGCTTCTATATATTGCAGTATACAACTACAGCATCTAGCTGAGGAGTAAAGTTATACAGTAATGAAGAAGAGAATGAGACAAAACATGAGAATATTTCAGTAAATGGCAATAATTCACCTGACTGGTTATTGGTGAACATAAAATATACTCGGAAAGGAAACAAAACAAATATCCGACTGTAGTTAAAAATTGCTTGAGAACAGCCTTCTTCATGTAATTATACGGTGACATTTGGATGGTGGTTGGTACAAGTACCTGAACAGTGAGGGAGAGTCCCACTCCAGTGGCTATCTTCTTGGCACTCCCTAGTAGAATTTCCTATGAGTCTTCGACCCGCTGTGCAAGAATAGTGAATTATGGAGCCATATGTAAATTTGTCTCCCGAAAGAATGGCATTGGCAGGTACCCCAGGATGTCCACAAGAAATGGCTAACAGAGGACAAAGCACAATATTATAAGCTGTTTTCATGGCACAGGAAAAACAAACAAACAAACAAACAAACCCACAAACCCTATTACAAAACCTTTAATAGGAGGCCACACAACATAAACTTCTGTCTGGATTTCAGCTCCTTCCTATCTTCAATTTTCTGTTGCTATAGATGATTTACTCATCAATTGTTAGAATAAACATAACCCTAATGAAAAAATAACTCATCCAGTGTAGCCTTTCCCTGAAAATATACAGAGCTCACTTTCCTCATTCCTTTCTGTTCACTTTCCTACCCTACAAATAATGAACATTATTTCTGTTAAGTTTGGGAAGGAAGAAACCAAATAAGGTTAATGTTGTAATGTGCTTATATTTAACATGTATCGTAATGGTAAGTAACTTTATCATTTGTATAAAATCAGTAGACGCAGTTTAGGCAGTAGAGAGAAATAAAACCCCTTAATCTGTAGTATTACAATTACAATGTGCTGCACTAAGATGACCAAGAGAAAAATGGATAACTGATCATTTTTGAAAATTATGAATCATACTTATGCTTAAGTTAACGTGTATATTTTTTTTAAGAAAAAATCATATCAAGAGTTTTAGTGCAGAATAACTTACAAACAAGTAGTTCAGATACATTGTATGGGGAAACTTTTATTCTAAGGTGAACTAGAAATCAAATTTTATTTTTTTTTAATGTAAACTTAAGTCATCCAGTAGAGAAAGAAAAAAACAAAGAAAATAATAATTTTTACATAACTTTAATAAACAGACACACAAATTCAACAGAAAACACTTGAGTGGAGAA